TTCACCCACCCGATGCCCTGGCTCTCCACCCACAGCCTTCCCCACTGTGAAGGCCCACCCCGCAGGGCTTCCACCAACCACTTCATCTCTTCTCGATATTGTTCTAAGCTTAGGAGAGTAGATATTTTTACGATACAAAATTAAGATGTGTTTTAACACCATTAGAATTGAATTGGCCCCCTTAGGATATCAGGACTGTCTCCCTGAACACCGTCAAGGGACTCTGTTGCTTGAACTGCCTCAGAGCTGATCATTGGGAACCTTAAGAGCAGGGTTTCCCTGCCCCTGGGCCACAGACTGGTCCTGGTCCATGGTCTGTTAGGACCCGGGCCACATAGCAGGAGGGGCGTGGTGGGCGAGTGAGCATTACGGCCTTAGCTCCGCCTCCCGTCAGCTCAGCGCAGGAGGGGCGTGGTGGGCGAGTGAGCATTACGGCCTCAGCTCCGCCTCCTGTCAGCTCAGTACAGCAGTAGATTCTCACAGGAGCGTGAGCCCTGCTGTGAACTGCACGTGCGCGGGATCTGGGTTTCATGCTCTTTATGAGAATCTAATGCCTGATGATCTGTCGCTGTCTCCCATCACCCCCAGATGGGACCATCTTGTTGCAGGAAAACAAGCTCAGGGCTCCCACTGATTCTGAATTATGGTTCAGGGTATGATTCTTTCATTACATATTACAGTGTAATAAGAATAGAAAAGTGTACAATCAATGTAACGTGCTTGAATCATCCCAAAACCATCCCCGGCAACCTGGTCTGTGGAAAAGTTGTCTTCCATGAAGCCAGTCCCTGGTGCCAAAAAGTTTGGGGACTGCCCCTTAAGAGGACAATTAGAAATGTAAAGAAGGGCTGGGCATGGTGGCTGATGCCTATAATCCCAGCACTTTGGGAGGCCGAGGTGGGTGGATCACTCGAGGTCAGGAGTTCGAGATCAGCCTGGCCAACATGGTGAAACCCCGTCTCTACTAAAAATATAAAAATTAGCTGGGCGTGGTGGTGCACACCTGTAATCCCAGCTACTCGGGAGGCTGAGGCAAGAGAATTGCTTGAA